GAAGTTCCAGGCTTCATTTCATTGCAGTGTTTATCCAGCATTCCTGTACAGTAAATAAAAGCTATGTGGAAAATACTTGGAGCCGAATGTTTATCAAGTACGCCACATCCTCCCTAGACCAGTTAAGGTTACTTAAACGGAGTGGGGTAAATTCACCACCTGCCTCAGCCTGGGACATGACTGGAGGCCAGTCCAATTAACTAATTTATTTTTAAATGATTCATTCTGCAGATGTGACTGTCATTGGAAAGGTCAGCATTAAATGCTCATCTACAGTTGCCCTAAGAAGGTGATGGTGAGCCTTATACCTGATACTGAGTGACTTGTTGAGTTTTCAGGTTTCATCCCTTAGTTGATATGAGTGAATCATTTGGGTTTTTACTGATAGCCTTTAGTAATACTGACAGCAATTCTAAAATTTACAACATGAGAATGACATTTGAATTGTCTAAATTATTAGTCCAGTGACATAACATTATCCTGATGAGATATATAATGTGCATTATACAGTAGTGCACAAAATTCAAAGAATTTTTTAATTCATTCATGGAAAGTAGGCATCACTGGATAGGGGCAGCATTTTTTGCCCATCCTTAATTGCCCAGAGGGCAGTTAAGAGTCGACCACATTTGTAGGCCAGACCAGGTAAGGATGGCAATTTCCTTCCCTAAAGGGCATTAGTGAACCAGATCGGAGTTTTCCAACAATTGACACTGAATTGACGGCCATCATTAGACATTAATTCCAGATTTTTAAAAAAATTGACCTCAAACTCCACCATCTGCCATGGCAGGATTTGAACCCTGGTCCCCAGAACATTACCTGGGTCCCTGGATTAACACTCCAGCAATAATACTATTGGGCTATTGCCCCCCCTTAAATGTAAATGTGCTTAGAGGGAATGTGAAGTACAGAAATTGTTCTAAAGTGTATGATAAACATGAGGCATAGGTGAATTTCCATGTATTATGGTGCATTGGAGATGCCTATATAATGCTCTCAATTGTTTCCCTCAACTGTCAGGGGACAGCAGCTTGGATGGTACAACTGTTCTGTTTTTCAACTGCTGTGAAGTTTTATTTCCTTAATTATTCTGATTATTCAACATTGTGTTCTCTTCCTTGAGCTACACAGTGGACTTGATCAATCATTAATAAACAAAAAGGACAGTATCAGCCAACAGCAGTTGTCCTGGAGCAAGGATGCATTTTTTTTTAAGAAGAACCTGTGTCTTTTAGTCCTATCTTCCTGGGACATGGACCCCATTGCTTGATTGATGTCCACCCCTCCATTCGCCCTATCCCAATCCCAGAAAGGAGTCAATGCCCCAGGAGATGAGAAATGGATGGTTAAGGGCACATATAATTGATGATTGTAACTGGTCCGTCAAATCGGCCCAACACTCATGATGTTTAGAGAACAATAACCAGCCACACTCCAAACAAACCCATTCACACAGCACCCAGTGCAACCATGTTATCATGTCCTTGGCAGAGGCATTTTAAAAAAAAATCAAAATTGTTGCTAAGTCATGGCAAATATAAAGCCCTTCCAGTGGTTTTGTCGGTAAAAGCACCATCTCCCACATGTCAGAGGATCCCTGGATCTGTCCACAGTTGACAACTCAGGAGACAGGAGGAGTGATGAGACTGACCATCAATTTTTGGGTGAGAGCAAAACAGACAAATCTATCCAGTGGCTTGTGGAGAACAGTGAATGGAGCATGTAAAATGTTTGCCATTATCAATCCCAATTTAGCACTTCAGATCCTGGTAGGGCGTGTACACTCAAAAACACTGCCAATTCACACAGCTCTCTCATTTTCTGCCCATCAAATTGAATGAATAAAAACTGCAGCCCATACATTGGAAAATATGATTCCTACAGCACACAAAGTTCTGTGGAGCTAGAGGGAATGTGACATACAGAAATCTAGTCTTGTTTGCAAGTGGAGATCGCTAAAGCTGATTTACAGCATTCCTCGTTTTCTGGTCAGGAAGGCGATGTTACTGGCTTAATAAATCCAAAGGAGTGTGACTTTAACCTCCATTGTAGCAGTTTGAGAATTTAATTCAATTTAAGATCAGGATGTAAAAAGCTAGCATCATTCAGACGTACCAAGATACTCATTCCTTGCAGCTGGGGATGCTAATCTTGACAATGATGTCAATGTCCTAAGACTGGCTTTTTAAAATAGTTTCTAAGATTGTCACCATGGCTGTGGGACCAGACGAATAATTCAGAGGACATTCACATCAGGGTTAGCTTTACAATGGAATTCAACAATAACATGAGGATGGTGACCATGTTGGGCTACTATAAAAGCCAACATGTTAATTACTGTCCTTACTGCCACTCTTATCTGACTTTGCTCCAAGTTCAAATTGTGTGATTGACTCCTCAGCCATCTGAACTGGCTAAGTCAGTCATCCAGGTTTCAACTAATCACCAGGGCTTCATGAGGAAGGAGCAGGGTTGCCTGACAGCAACTGAGGATGACCAACAAATATAGCTGTACCAAATCACCCACATCCTGAGAACAAGTACAAAACAGAACATCCTCCTCATAATTCATTGAATTTTCTGTGTGCCTTTTTATAAACTATATTAATCTGTACAGCAGTCCACTTATATTTTTAATGGTTCATTTAATAAAAAGGTTTCACCCTGATTTCTGTTTTCTCTTGGGTGCAAGCTTTGCAATGATTCAAGAGGTGATGGGGTCAAGGAGGAGGCTAACACTCTGGCCCTGGTATTTTACACCTGATTGCTGCAGCTCCAAAGTCAAGAGTGGACCATGATTTAATGAATAGTGCACATTGGTCCCAAACTCAGAGCAAACTGAATCTCTATCACACATACCCCTACAACCCCACACATTTCAATATATAACACATCTGGAGGTAGATCCTGAGTGTAAAAGAGGTGATTGTAAAATGCCAGCCCAATTTATGGGAGTTACAGACCAAATCACATTATCACCTGAAGTCAAAATTACTCCCTCATGTCAGAACGAAGGTGCAACTTTTTTGATGAGAGGAAATGAAACATCACTTTACTGCATATGCTGAACTAAGAGGCTTTGACTGAACACATTATGATATTAACTAAATTTGGAGTTGGAATGCATTTTCTGATGCCTTTGTGTGTGACCTTTATCCCATTTGAACTGGAGATTCTGGGGGGCATTTAGCTTCCAAGGAAAGGATGCAGAGCCTGGTTAAAACAGTTCTATTTATTTCCATAATTGGACAAAATAAGCCATGACAAACATGTTTGTCAAAGGTCACTTGCATTGTTATGTCAAAAATGCAGCAGATCTGTCTATCTTTAGTCAGTTAAACAAGAATAGTACCTTGGAGAAAAGAGCTAAATGTTTATCTGGCATTAAGAAAAAATCAGATAATGTTCAAATTAAGGATGAATTTGGAGACACTCAGAGGAAATTGGATTTGGTGGATGTTTTAACTGCATCTTGCTTGTTCTGGGAGTTGTGAGATTCCCACTGCAGCTGATCTCTTGGAGTACAATACAAGTAGCTAGCAAAGTGAGATTTCCATTAGTCGCACCAACCCGTTACAGCATGAGGGTGGTTTTTCAGGTGGTTGCAGGTCAAGAAGCTGTATAAAGGTTTTTTTATACATTCATATCATATTCAAATATCAATTGTCAGTTGCAAGTTCAAAAAGGACCAGCTTGCAATGTGTAATAGATAATGGCCCACCTTTTTGTTATACACGTACGCAAATCAATTCTGATTTTATTTCTTTGAAATTGCTGATTTCACATGCGTTGGCCTCAACAGCAGATGACATGTAAGCAGGTTTTGTACGTTCGGTTGTATTTCAGAAATCTAGATTAAAGTGGCAGGTAGACTGCTACTCGTAGTCTAAAACTTCAAATATAAAGGTGTTCTTTAATATGCAGTTGAATTCAAAGCTGTTTGGCTATTCTTGTGCATAAGCAGTGAATGAATTACTTGATCTAGTCAATGCGACTAGTTCTTGCATAGGTATTAATTCCTGTTGCATTCTGAGGCCATTGTTTGTATTTCAAAAGCTGTGTTTTATCCTTTAATTGGACTCTGTCCTCCATTTCATCATAAGATCTGTAAGTTTGTAAACTATAACCATAGTTGAGAGGGGATTATCTGAGGTTGGAGATGCTGTCAGCAGACAACTGGAGAAACTGCTAGAACCACTGGCAGTACCTTTTCACCTTTGTTCACATTTTCCTCGCAGCGGGCTGGAAATGGTCAACCCTGCCTAAATCTTCCTTGTGTTTGCGTAAAAGTGTTGAGGTCATTGGTGACATCCTACCATCACAATGACAAACCCCACTGCTTCTCAGATGGGGCGGCACCATGTCTCAGTGGTTAGCACTGCTGCCTCACAGTGCCAGGACCAACTTCGATTCCACCCTCGGGTGACTGTCTGTGTGGAGTTTGCACATTCTCCCCGTGTCTGCGTGGGTTTCCTCCGGGTGCTCCAGTTTCCTCCCACAGTCCAGGGATGTGCAGGTTAGGATTCGCCATGCTCAATTGCCCCATAGTGTCCAGGTATGTGAAAGCTAAGTGAATTAGTCATGGGGGTTACAGAGATAGGGTAGGAGGTGGGTCTGGGTGGCATGCTCTTTGGAGGGTCACTGTGGACTTGATGGGCTGAAAGGCCTGCTTCCACACTGCAGGGTTTCTATGATTAGCAAGCTCAGCAAAGATACAATGACAGGAATTTGATTCTTCCACAGTATTTGTAACCACTGAAAGAACATGGGCCCATATTGGATATTTGTAGCCAATTATAGCAAAATAAGAATTGCAAAGCACAGTTCATGAGTGTGATGGAGTACTCCACACTTGCCTGGATGAATGCAGCCTAACAACACTCAACAAGCACAACACCATTCAGCCTGATTGCTTGGTACTTCACCCACTGCCTTCAACAGTCATTTCTCCATCATTGATACATAGTGGAAGCAGTACACTACAGTAATTCACCAAGGCCTTTTCAACAGTATCTTCCAAACCTGTGTCCTCGACACCCTAGAAGGGAGACAAGAGGTAATGGGGCTATCACCAGCTGCAAATTCCCCTGCAAGTCACACACCATTCAAACTTGGAACTATATACCTGTTCCTTCACTATCATTGGGTTAACATCCTGGAACTTTCTCCCTTACAGCACTGTGGGTGTACCTAATTCACATGCAGCAGTTAAAGTAAGTAACTCACCACCACCTTCTCCAGGGTTATTGTGAATGTGCGTTAAATGCTGGCTTTGCCTGCGATGCATTAAGTGGTCACATGGCTCCTCAAGCCTGTTTTTCCATTCAGTAAGATGATGGCTGAACTTTCACATCAACTGCACTTTTCTAATCTATCCTCAAAACCCTTAAGTCCCTCAGTGCTCTTAAATCTATTGAGCTCAATCTGGAATGTAATCAACAATTTCTCTAACAATTCCAAAGATTCACAACTCTCTCAGTGAACAAATATTTTTTCATCTCAATCCTAAAATGCCAATTCTCCAATCAAGATTTTGTTTAGCTTGTTTCTGAAAATCGCTCAGTTTTCTATTTTTGCACTGAATTGGCTCATGACATGAGGTTCATATCGAAAACACTGAGTGAAATGCGATTGCTTTTTACGTGTTTAAGCCTTGGGAAGATGGCATTCTAATTTAAATGGTCACAAATTCAGCCTGCAAAATTGAGAAACTAAGTGCGGTGATTGTAACGAGGTCAGCCAGGTGGACCTCATAGAATATGAGTTCCCTGACTGGGGCTGTTAATCTGGTCCAATCAGAGAGCCCTGGCTGACAGAAATAAACAGGAGGGTCAGAAGTTCTGTTCACTCTGAGAGCTGGCTCTGAGGGAGCTGGATCAGTGTCAAGGAATCTCTATGTGCAAATAAAGGGTGACTTGGTGATGGGATACTGGTCTCTGTGGAGTTATTTCATGAAGGATCAACAATTATGTCCCTTCTTTATGAAAACCAAAACAACTGCGGATGCTGTAAATCAGGAACAAAAACAGGAGTTGCTGGAAACTCAGCAGGTCTGGCAGCATCTGGGAAGAAAAAAATCAGAGTTAATGTTGGGTCCGGTGACCCTTCCTCAGAACTTGACCTGAAACGTTAACTCTGATTTTTTTTCTTCACAGATGCTGCCAGACCTGCTGAGTTTCCAGCAACTTCTGTTTTTTGTCCCCTCTTTATGAGTCTGGTTAAAAAGCTAAAAGACTTGAAAGGCAATCTCAATCATGTTTTCACATCAGTCTCATTGATTGGATTAACACAGGGACAGGAGATTTGGCCCAAACCCAGTGAGTTGAACACAAAACCTAGTCTACAGCTCCAATGTGGTTCCGAGCGATTGCTGAGTTGTCACAGGATCTGATCTTCAAATGACGTGTTGACTCAAGGTCCTGTCTGCTTTGTCAGGTGGCAAAGAGCATTCTATAGAATGATTTTGAAGAAGACCATGGGATTTGAACAGTGCCTCAGTTCATAGTTATGCATCAACCATCATTAACAGAATAGACTGTTATCTGATTGTTGTCTGTCGGAGTTTGCAAATTTAACTGCCATAACTCCTACATTTCAACAGTGATTACATGTCTAAAGTACTTTTTTGGTTGTAAAATAGATTGTGACAATATTAGGTGATGCAAGCCACTATATAAATACACATCTATTTTAAATGACAGAACTCTACCATTATGGGTTAAAAAAAATCTCAAGTTCAGGCTTTGAAATCTCAAGATGACTATTTCAGTTGAGCAATGTACAACTTAAAAACTGTAGCCTCGATTATGTCACCAGACCGACAGAAACTGCACTTGGTAGCTCAATGAGAACACCAGTGATCTGTCTCTAGATCTCATTATACCAAGTCCTGCTTTTGGACCAACAGAGAAAAGACCTTCTTGCAGGCCTCCAGAAATGAAAGGCATCATCTCCACGACAGTACCTGCGATCACCTTCCCCTTTCTAACTAGACCAACTGAGTCCCATTAAACAACCAGAGAATAGTCTACCTTCTCACTGGATTATCTGAGGCTGTACTTTTTCCTTCCTGCAGACCCACACATCAGGTCCATTCCAACCATATGTAAGTGGAACTTAGGTCTATGCTCGCTGTTTCTCCTTCATTAGATCTGCTTTTAACACAATGACATGCCATTTTAACCCAAGAGGTAACTAACAGAACAGTCCGTGTTACGGCTGGTCAGACGTTACACTCTATTGCAGTCCTGCAAAACTGGCGGGTTACCTAATTCAGTCAGTTTTATGACGGTTGAGCAAAGTTAAATTGATCCATAATATCTCAGTTTATGGGCACAATTTCACTTCTTTCTGTGGCTCTGGTGTACAGCATCATCATTCTTGCAAACGGTTTCACTGGCATTGAGTTGCAAACAATTGAAATACACTTTCACCGGGTTCTGGTTAGCCCTACAGTGACAAACCAATAGAAATCTGGCAAGACAAGTCGTGACAGTGGCCTCTGAGTGGCTCACACGACGGTTCTCGTTAAAATAAACAAAAGACTTGTTCTATAGCATCTTGTGTGACTTTTGGACATCCCAAAGTCCTTTGCAGCCACCTTTGGAGTGCAACGAAAGAAATATGGAAGCCAAAATGTGGACACCCCAGATTTCATGACCACCATGTTCTAATTAATTTATTCATAGTGTTGTTGGTGAAGAAAAAGCAGGATATGCGGTGTGTGTGTATACGCGCGCGTGTGTGTGTGTGGGTGGGGTGTTGGTGAGGGAAGGTTCCCCTGCTGTGCGTCGAAATAAGGCAATGGGATCCTTTATGCCCCCTGAAGAGGGCAGATGGAGCTTTGAATTGACATCTGATGTGACAGACGGCACCTCCGACAGTGCAGCAATCCCTCAGTGTTGCACCGCAGGAAAGCCCTTTCTTGTGCAACTCCTGGCGCTGTATGGGGCTGTTGTGGTGCTGCTGTAACTTACTGACAACAGCAACGCTTGGTGAGCAACTTATTCAAAATTTCCAAGTCTGCTAGACAAGCCGCGCACTGCTGAACAAAAAGTGTCGCTTTGCACAAGAAACACTACCAGCCTCCACAATAGGACGACAAAAATCCTTGCCCTATTTATAAATTTGGCCTCATTAGTGAATAATCCAATGACAAAGACTTCTGTGCTGAATAGAACCTCATCAGGTAGACCATAGATCTGTAACAATTACAGGAAGGAACAGCTGCCGCACATTGTATTGTGGCTGTCTGTGTTGCCATATGATATGGAAACGACTGGCTTTCTGGTGCAGATTTCCATTCGTTTGTACTTTTACCTTCTGATTTTTGTACTATTAGCACAGAAACGTGAGAAAAGAAATTGAAGGCACACATTCTCTATACAATAACACGTGATATCATCGGCTCAAACCTTTGGGGCAGAAATGTCACCTCACGCTTCACTTGTTCAGATGCTTGCATTTTTAGCTCATATCGTTATGGTCATAAGAATTGATACATAAAAATGAGGAAGGTTTCAGCCTTGCACTCTCGATTGATATTAAACATATGATTTATCATTTACCGCTGCAGCACAGCTGTTATTTCTCCTGTCTGGATAAAAAAAAATAGATTAATCTGAATCACTTGCAACAAGCAAAATGACATCTCTGCAGGCTGTCTCACTTGTCCAGACTGTCAGTGATAAACCTGCGAGATGGAGATGACATCGGTTGGTTTTATTATTTTGGAATGGGTTGCAATGGAAGAACACGTGTAATTTTTTAATAAAAGCAGCAACTTGCATTTATATAGCAGCCTTCCGATAGTAAAGTGAAAGAGTGATTATTAGACAAACTGAGCGATTTAGGAAAATGTTGCGGAGAATAATCCAAACACAGAAAGATAGGTTTTAAGTAGATAGACCCTATGGCCTTGGCAGCTATAGACATAGCCATGAGTGGCGAGTCATGAGAGTTGGGGAGGCTAATGCTTGACAAGCAGAGATGTTTAAGGGCTTCAACACTGAAGGAATTAAAGTTAGGGTAATTTGGAGCCATGGGGGGAAGGAGAGGGAACACGCAGCATCATCCGATACAATACAGGTCTTTAGAGACCGGTGGGCACCACGGGGACTGGGGTGCATCATTACCATGGAAAATGTTATTCTGGGTTAGTAGGTTTCCATTCATTTTCCATTAACTGCTCGGTTCTGCTTTTACTATGGTGCCCATCAAGGGCTGCCTAACCTGATTAAAGTTTTGTTTTAAAAGAGTAGAAATACTTAATGACAAGCTTTATGAACAAAACCACACATGTACTGAGAACAGAGATTGATTCCAGGCAACTAAACTGTCAACTGAGCTCCAGCATGCTTCCTTTCTCCATAGTGACCTAACGTCTATATTTAATCCCCAATTTCCTCCACTTGCCTATTTCCTTAAAGCATCAACTGTTTGCTGAAGTTCAGTGACAGGGTCACCTTGACCCAAGTGGACATCATTTATCTAAAGGTCCCAACAGTCTACTAGCTCAGTCTGGTTCTGTCCTGATCCAATGCTTGCGTTTTGTATAAATTTCTGGATAGCAGGAGTCCTGGCAGAATTCCCTATTCCTAACTCAAATTGACTGAAGCCATTTGCAGCATCCCTATTCACCCAGGTAATGCTCAATTCTCACCTTGGTAGCTTGAGAATTGGAGTTGCATTCAGTTTTCTACAACAGGTCTGGAAATTAGAAGGTTGGTATGATCTTAAAGCTGTCAGATTGTTATAAGTACTCATTTGGTTTACTAATTGTGGGGAAATCCTGTTTAACCTATGGGTGACTCCAATCTCTTACCAACACTTAACTGAAGCTACCAAGCAAACCATTCAGTTGGAATACAGCAATGGACAATAGACTGTAGCCTTGTATCTTGAGAATGAATTAAGTGAAGACTACTGGCAGAATCTTCCCAGACCCTGAACAACATGGGAAATGGTAATAAAGTTGGAGGGTGGGGGTGGTCACGTGAGAGATCAGCACTGTGGAGTTTCCCACCGTCGAGAGCAAAATCTCCCATTTTCCAATCAAGTGTTGAATGGCGAGACAAGATCTCACCAGTGAGCAGCAAGAGGCTTATTCACACACACTAACATTACATCATTATGTCATCTCACCTCATTGATTTGCAGTTTCCCATTCCTCCAACCACCACAGTGAAACTAGATGGCATCAATCCTTGACATGAAAGTCAGAGGGGGCCTAGTGACTCCAGCTCACCCCTTGATCCTCCAGACCTCCATCAGTCACCAACATCCCAGGACACACTCCAATGGCAGCAATTGTATGCACTCCCATCCACTAGAACCTTCAAGTCTCTATTGGCAAGGTGGGATGCCAATTATCTTCTGTCCAACCAGACCGAGGTAAATAAAACAAACAGCACACTGCCAGCATTTGATCGGGTGCAGGTCAGGACTTTTAAGATAGAACAGGTGCCAGGAATCCTGGGAGGTGCCAGTAGTGTCCAGTACCTCCACCTGTGGTGACTGGGAGATTACAACAATTGGTCAAGTAATGAGGCATGAGGCATGTTTGGGAAGGTAGTGCGAGAAAACTCACTAAAGCTTGCGGAGAGAAACTGACCATCAAACTGAACAAAAATGATGCCTAGCCACATCCTGCTTTGATTCAGCATTGCTTTCCATTGTCCCAGCTCCAGCAAAACAGCTCAAAGGGAGATAAGGAGATTAGTTTTATACGATGAATTGTCGTGATCTGAAATGCACGATCTGAAAGAATATTGGAAACAGAGTTAATTGCAACTCTGAAAAGGGATTTGGGTATATATTTATAAAGGAAAACTTTTGCAGTGTTTATGGAAAGCTGGGAATTTGGAGAGTCGGTATGGGCACAATGGGCTGAATGGCATCTCATTGAGCGGTTAATCTATGTTTCATTCAACTTACGGATTTTCCATGCATGAGAGAAATAAAGCAAAGAATTTTAAGGACAAAAGGCTATCCTCTTATATTCGTAATTAGACAAATTAGTCATTAGAACTAAGAGTTCCCCAATGTCCGACAGTGTTTTATCTCTTTTTTTAGTTTCTCCTTGAGTATTCGAATCACGATCTCTACCCATTGTCTGCGGGACTTGATAACAGTTTGATGTCAGTAACCCACTGCCTCCGATCACCCCTGTCCTGGAATGGTTCACTTACAAATTGCAAATTCACCAACTTTTTGTTTCTTTATTCATTCATGGGATGAGGGCATCGCTGACCAGGCAGCATTTATTGCCTAGACCCTTCATCAGAAAAGGGTCTAGGCCCGAAACGTCAGCCTTCCTGCTCCTATGATGCTGCTTGGCCTGCTGTGTTCATCCAGCTCTGCACCTTGTTGTCTCAGATTCTCCAGCATCTGCAGTTCCTACTATCTCTGATAGCATTTATTGCCCATCCCTAATTGCCCAGAGGGCAGTTTACAGTGAACCACATTGCTGTGGGTCTGGAGTCACATGTAGGCCAGACCAGGTGACAATGGCAGTTTCCTTCCCTAAAGGACATTAGTGAACCAGATGGGTTTTTCCAACAATCAACAATGGCTTCATGGTCATTATTAAACTCTGAATTCCAGATATTTTATTGAATTCAAATTCCACCATCGGCCATGATGGGATTCGAACTTGGGTCCCCAGAATGTTATCTGGGTCTCTGGATTAACAGTCCAGTGATAATACCACCAGGCCATTGCCTTCCCCACATTCTGCCACGCTGTGAGACCCATTGGAAGTGCCACCATGGTTTCTGGCGCAGATACACCTTAATTTCTTGAGCCGACAGAAGTAATGCCAATCACAGTGAATACAAAGTAGACAGGCACATAAGGGGTCATGTTATGGCTTGTGTTGTTGCACTAATAAGCACGAGTTAAGCAAATCCCACCATCACAGTTGAACCATTTCGAAAATACATGACTGAAAAGCTGCTGCTGGTAAAAGTTACCATGAGGCTGTCGGATTGTCATAAAATTCTCACCTGGTTCACTAATGTTCTTTAGGGAAGGACACCTGGCATCTTTACTCAGACTAGTCTACACTGTATGTGTCCCTTGTTCCATAGCATATGGTTAACCTTTAAATGCCTTTTGAAGTCACCGCGCAATCCCCATTCAGTTGTATTGTAACTTGCACTGGGCAATAAATGCCAGTCAGCAATTCATACTCCCTGAGACTGAATTGATAAAAAAACACAATTATTGCCTGCTTAAAACGGGTTGGTCCCATGACGGCTGGAAATAAAAGCTGACTTTATTTTGCTTCTTATGATCTTAGATCTGGCTTCCCTCTGGTGGTGCGAACATGGCAGTTTTGTATAACTACTTCAGATCCAATCTGAGGAATTAGATTAGACCTTGATTATATCCATCCTTATTCTTCCGGACCACATTGAAAGAGAAAGAGAGGGCCATCTCCTGTTGTGCAAGAGGCAGGAATATTGCAAAGGAGTATGAAACATTTTAGACTTGTACAAAAATGTGTAAAATGAACAAAAAGGGGACAATAGTTTCCAGTGCACAACCTTCACTGCAGACAACATCTTGTCTGGCTTATATGAACGTAGTAACATTTAGCTCTTATAGATGGTCCCACCAGTCAATAAGACTGTGGATGATCTCTTACTGAACTCCAGATAGCTGCCTTTGTCCCATATCCTTAAATACATTTAGTTAACAAAGAAAATCTATGCATCTCAGATTTATTATTAATGACTAACCGTTTACAGATGAAAGTTCTGAACTTCTACCAACCTTTCCATGAAAAAATGTGTTCTAATTATGCTCCTAAAAGACCTAGTTCTATTTTTTTGGACCTTGCATCCTAATGTTAGACATCACAATGGACAGAAATAGTTTCTTTCTTTCCAGCCAGTTTCCCTATATCTTAAAAAGTTTGGTGAAAAGTCCTTTAATCTTCTACATTTCAGGGAACTGAACCCTGGCTTGTGTAATTCTGCACGTGTCACATTTTGTGCTTTGCTTTATTTGCCTAGAATAGGATAGGAGTGGAACAGGAAAGGGACTGGGGAGAAAATGTTTTGGGCTTAAAGTAAGGGCCAAGTTTACCATATCTGTGTGTGACTATGGGGAAATGATACTCATTCCTTTATGTTATTGCCATCTGTCTATTACAAAGAACGATCAAGCAGTATTACATGATTGTGACATGCTTGGGGGTAACAACACTAGGCTTTCTGTTTCTAAACATTGGCATCACTGTTCTTTGATACAAAACACTCAAATATTTTCTGCTCAAAATACAATTACTGTTAACTAAACAGGCTTAATTATGAACTTTAAAACCTCAAATAGTTGATTGCAGGAAAGGATCTTCTGATCAGGTCTTAACAATGGAAATAAAATTACCTTCTCTGAGAATCTGTTTTTTTATGCAAATACTGTTACTATAGCATATTCACTGTGACAACCATTGTCCTTCACGTAACTTATAATGGACAGAGTCCTTCAGTATTAAGGAAGACAGTGCAACAATACTGCAGCTAATGAGACAAAATTGGCAGAGCAACTGTCTTCCTAGTTATGCATTCAAATTTCACTCCAGAGCTTTGAGCAAATTATCTAGGCTGACACTCCAGTGCGGAACTGAGAGAGTGCTGCACCGTCAGAGGTGGTGTCTTTCGGGTGAGATGTTAAACTTGAGGCCCTTGTTTCCATCTCAGGTTGATAACATTTGGAAAAAGAGCAGAAACGGTTTCCATGCTGCCCACCCAATACTTACTTTGCAACTCGTACCTAAAAAAAACTGAACATTATCTCATTGTTGTGGGATTTGTTATGGACAAGTTCACTGCCACAACTCCCTTCTGGATCACAGTAATAGCTTTGGCTGTTTTGTGCTGTCCTACAATCCTGAAAAGTGCAATACAAATGCAAGTTGTATTCTTTCTGCATTCTGAAAGTTATTTCCCACAAATAATCTTATCTATTCTTAATTGAATATAAGGAAAGCATATCTAGATGCATCATCTCTCATTAAGGTAAATTTGGCAGGACACAACCGAATGTATTTTTCTTGCATAGTTGTGGGCTAAAGTGGATGAAGAAAATGAGATGGCTTCAAATGCACTGTGAAAACTCACCAGCCCACACATATGGTATCTGTGAGTCTCAGCCAGTTATAAATTAATTAAAAGTTGAAGTGATCCATACTGGAAAGGAGATCATTTTACTGGTAAATAGCTCATTCTTTTGTGCCACTTAGCACAATTTCATTTCTGCCCATCATTGTCTTTCATTGTTCTGTCTGTCACAGGGGGTCTGGACAAGCAGCAAGCCAAGGTTTCAGCTAATGACAGGAAGTCTTTAAAGTTTGCCCTGCATTTCATCTTCTCAACAGGAGTTTCAGGACACGTCTACTGTTTGATCCCCACAGTGAGATTATTGCTGTAGTTAATTAACAGATCTCCCATTTTACTTTTACTCGTCTGAAGGCGTGCAGGAGGACCAAGGGTAATAATTCAAGACCAGTCCAACTGACAAATACTTCAGGCAGAGGGTGGGCTTTCCTTTCAAATATTGCTGTTCATTTCAAGAACACCAGAACATAAATGACGCCAGTTGGCCCTTCCAGCTTGTTCCACCATAGAATTAGATCACAGCAGATCCGTTCTATCACTTCATTTGCCTGCCTTGGTTCCATATTAAAAGAAAACAACTTACATTCTCGGTCACCTTTAGGCCATTCCAAATAATTTTGATGTCCATCCAGTGCTTCTTTGTTTGAAGGGTAGTCACTGTTATAATTTAGAGGACATAACAGCAAATTAGCACACAGCAAGCTCCCACATCCAGCAATATTTAATTAATCTGTTTTCCGGATAGTGGTCGGGGGGAGGGGGGGATAAATATTGACCTGGAGGCCTGGAAAAAATCTCTTTCCCTCCATTCTTGGAAACAATGCTGTGAAATCTTAATGTTTCCCTAAGAAAGCGACTCACAGTTCAGCTTCTTATTCGAAATATGGATCTAGTTGTTTGCCCTGTTCTGGGAGCCTGCTTGCTGGAAGGTTAATTCCTGCAGGGGGGACAATACACTGTTCGTATGTATATTCTTAAATTTACGATTTGGGTCTCATTTTCCTCTCACCTCTCGGTGATTTGGCTGTTATTTTGGCACTCGATCCAAGTGAGGTCGGCAATTATTTCAAAACCAGAAAACGCCCTGTTAAAACCAGTCAACATTAACCCACACGTGCCGCGGAGCCGATTAAATATATCCGCGTGATAGTTTCACAAAACGAAAATGAAAGCAAAGCAGTGTGTTGTGAGAATAACATCTGTGTATTTAAATCGGAGCAAAGCTACAGGTCAGATTTGAACTCTCTATTCTCTCTCTGATAAAAAAAAAACTGCCAGGCGGTTTTGCCAGCATTGCAACTTTGAAAGTCGAATTTTCTCCCAAACAGCCGCCGATTTTACTTTTGCTAAATGTGCTCCCAACATATCGAATTTATTCTTACACTTATCCGTTTTGCCTGTGCAAAAACAAAAGTTGGACACCTGAAATGAGAAAAGTAAGTGCTGGATAACCTTGGTCAGACCGCATCCATGCACAGAGGTACAGAGTTAATGTTTCAGGGTGAAAACAACAAATGCTGGAGATCACAGCGTGTCAGACAACATGCACGGAGAGACAGCAAGCGTGCTCTCTCTCTCCCCACACGGATGCTGCCTGACCCGCTGTGATATCCAGCATTTGAGGTTTTCAGTGCAGATTCCAGCATCTGCAATAATTTGCTCCTATGATGTTTCAGGGTAACGACCTTTCACCTGAAACAGGATTTTTTTTTAACCCTTCGAATACTGTAACAATCTGCTTCTAAATTCCACGCGAGTAAGGCAGGGATGGTTAGTAAATACTGGCCAGCCAGCTACGCCCACGTCCCATAAGTGATTTTTTTTTAAAAAGTCTCCTTCTTACAGGAAGCGATTTTTTTTTTGCATCCTCTCCAAAATTACACTTTCAATTCCGCCAGGTCACTGGATGTCTTAAGAAATTAACTTTGCAACATGTAGGAACTAAGTCTGGTGCAGCAATGCTCCCAGCACTTAAACTCATTGAAGAGTTAAACCAAGACAAAACGACTGGGAAAGTTTGGTGAATCCGAGTAGAAGCGGGCGTGTCTTCAAAGGGATTTGATATTTTAACCCCTGACAACTAACCGACCCTATGGGATACCACCACCGTCCGGAACCTTACTATTTAGGACTTTGCAGGTTGACAGGTTCCTTGTGTTTAGCGGTCAGTCGGTATGCTTTCTGCGGAATTGCTATCTCTAGTTCCCAACTGACAAGGTAGATTGCACAGGATTGCAGCAGGTTAATCTCACAATTTAAAAAAAACAAATTCTCTCTATCACGAATATGCTGGAAAGTGGCTCTCAGTCTGACTTTCCAAAACGGTGTCAGCCTCTTTCTCTTTTCTCTCTCTCTGTTGTAAAGGAAGGATTGATGGTTACAGTGACCGCTGACAAACGGAGGATACAGCCGGCGAACCGAGAGCAACGCTGCTTGGTGAGCTGCCGCTTACATCCCTGAATGTTCAGCCGGTTTGGCTCCGAATCAGGAGCTGGTTTGTTCACATTCCCGCTCCAGCCTTACATCTCTCGCCCGGGGAGTTGGGGGTAGAATCGGTGCTGTAATGGTTCTGACAAGGCACACGACACCAGGTTAGAGTCCGACAGGTTTATTTGAAATCACAAGCTTGGTTCTGACGGATAGAGGACGCGCTCTAACCATGATTCATATGTATCAATGCTGATAGTGGGATCTTCCTGTGTACAAATTGGCGCTACGCCCCCTATCCATTGGATTCCTTTCGATTGCGAAAGGCGCTACGTAAACGCAGCTTCGTTCTTCAATTGATTATTTCCTCTTTGAAGGAATTATATTTACAAATGACTCTAACGCCGACAAAGGTCACATCCTCTTCCTGCTCAAATAAAAAAAACTAATTTAACCTCCGGGATTGAACCATATCAGTGCACAGTAGAATTGCTGTGAGGGAGCTGGCCCGAGCAGGGAAGGTGACAGGGAACTCCTGGACCATAGAGGGGGTGCTTGGCCCTATGGCTGGGTCAAACTAAAGGAGCTCTCTGTATCACCTTCAGTCTTAAGAGTTCAGTGATTGAAGGCGAAGGGCTCGCTTGTAAAGGAAACAGGACCCGATTTGTTCAGGGTCAGTGAACGTGGCTGAAACCATCTTGTTCGTAGATACCTCTTCAAGTTATTACGCTGTCAGTTTTGCTAGTTCGTCAGGATTTATAGCGACGAGGCCCAGGCACTGGTTGGGGGCGAGAGGGGTAAATGTCTGTGAGGCCAGAGAAATTGTATCTGACTGAACTTTAAACCCAGCTCTATCCCTACTTGCCTTCTTGCTGTTCGTTTACCTTTGTATTGATCCAGCAAACGTAAATGGATAATCCTGCAAATGCTAAAGGTTATATTGATTTTTTTTTAAAAAGCAGCACAAATGAAATCACCAAGGCCCAAGGGAGACATTGTGTATAATGCTAGCGGGTCAGGATCTGAAGACTCGGTTGTGCGGTAATTCTAGTTGGGGTAACCAGAGCAATATAACCCACGAATGCAACAACTTTTGGAATGACCAGGTTCAGTTTTAGACCTGCTGAATTTCTCCAGCACTGTCTGTTTGGGTTTCAGATTTCCAGCAGTTCTTTGCTCTTACTTTATTGCAATTTGTTTGTTGTTATAATTTTAGCTACAGTGTGCATCTCCTGTTTGCATCGGTTGCATTCCTTATGTAGACAGAGCGTGGGCATTGTTTATCTCAAATCTTGGGTTTACATTCGATCGAACACACACAACAGCAAAAAAAATGTGGTGCTCGTGTTGCTGGTCAGTCGATCGATAACTTACACTTGCTTATAACCTGCGCTCTGTGCACTGACGAACCGCACAATAACGAGCTGCAAACCTGTCAATCAAACCTCACGGGTAGGAAGGAGTTAGAGAGCCGTCTGGTGCCGTACATTACTGTTTACCTGCCCACGGAGGTGCACTGGTGCTGAACTCGATTTACGACTCTGGGTAATGCAGCAAAGATGAATGAAACATCAGGACCAGCGCAAAACTAATAATCATTGCGAGCTCAGTTTATAATCTCCCTAATGAACCATATGGAATCGCAGCTGTACAAGCTTTATACCTGTAAGTGCAGACATATTACTGCACATCTTTTCCCCTTTGGCAGAGGCTGATAGTCCTACTGACCAACCATATGTGCAGTGTAAGTCCTGAAGTAGCTGTGCATCAGGGTTGTTTTTGGTGGTGGGGAGGGGGGGAAAAGTGGAGGGAATATGTGAGTTGGGGCTAATGGGGAATCCATTGGAAGCCCTAAACCACCTAATATATGGCTATGGCCTTTCCTTGAGGTTTATTCAACGAGTGACACAGGTCTGCCAAGACTACAATCCAGACTGTTAGCTCAAGCAGGGGGAAGGGCAAGCAATGGTAAAGGACGGCAACAGTGAGGAGTGGGGTTTTTGTGCAATAAATATCTTCTTCTCCCACCCCCATTTCCTTATCATACACACATAACACAAGCAGTTATGTCCAATATCACCTATTCACTTGATTTTTGATTTGATTTATGGTTGTCATATGTACCTAAGTACAGTGAAAATTTTGTTTTGTGAGCAGTACAGGCAGATCATAGCAAACAATAACATATAGCTCATAGGGTGCTTAGACAGAGTGAGGCGAAAAGGTTATGCCTGCACAGGAGGTGCACAAAGCAAGATCAACGTTAGATTTGAAATTAGATAGGTCAATTCAGCAGTCTAATAACAGCAGGAGAACCTGTTCTTGAGCCTGTTAGTGTGTGTGTTCAAGCTTCAGTATCTTCTGCCTGACCATTTGTTACCAGTTTACAACATTTCCTGCATTACAGCAGTCGCTAGAAGGGGATGCAGACACACAGTGGTGCAGGATGGGGATGAGGGGGCTAGTATTTTGAAGAAGCCATGACATCAGACTAACACCAGTAATCTGTGAATTAGATAGTGGCAACCTCTTAAAGGGGCACTAACACACATAAAAACCTGAACAGAACTTTGTCAAATTCAATCAAAATGTTGTTCTGGCATTTAGATAATGCACTTCAGCCCCTGAGGTGCCCACCAGTCATGCCTACACATTACTCTACCTGCTCCTTCTCCAGGGACGCCTGGGTGTGACATAACCATGGGAATGAGGCAGGCAGTTGGATTTAATGAACACCTGCACAGTTTGCTGCCTGGTGAGTCAGTCTGAATCATTGTGAACCAGACCTAAATCAGACAAGTCAGAAAAAATATCAAACTTTGACATGACAGGAAATCTATATTTGATAACCTGGTGAATGCTGTAGCCTTATTTGCCTTTCTTCAAAGTGAGGAAGTAAATTTAAGGAGCTGGGAATTTTTTTTTTAGAAAGATTTGTACTAATAAGGTTAAATAAAGCATTTTGATTAACGTTCCTATTTTTCAGTGACAACAGAAGAAGATGAGCAAATAGCCAGTGAGTTTTTAAGCAATAGTTTTATTGTTTAATTGAGAAATGGCAGAATAGGCAAAAAGAGGATGTGGTCCTACAGTCAGAATTTTGGGAGCTAGGTAAGAGGTTAGCAAACAGGAGCTCAAAAGTAGTAATTTCTGGATAACTCCCAGTACCACACACAAGTAAGAACTAAATTTGAATAAACACAGGTGAATGTGTGTTTGGAAAAATGGTACTGGAAGGCAAGCTTTAGATTCTGTGAGTACCGCGACTGGCTGTGGTGTATATCTAACCTGTAAAGGCTGGATGAATAGCCCTAAACAGAGCTGGCGCAATTTCCTTGCAGGGTGTTTTGCCAGTGGTATTGGAGAGGGTTTCAAATAACTTGGTAGAGATGTGGGAACCAGGAGATAATACTGGGGAGGAATAGCCGTGTGCAACAAATATTGAGAGAGACAGATAATAGTAGAAAAGGAAGTAGTAAGATATTCAATGGGACCAGCCTTAAAGAGAAAGTAATAAAGTCTAAATTAGGTTGACAGCTGCATATATTTGAATATGTGGAATTTGGTGAATAAGATTGGTGATTTTCAGACACTGGTTTCCACGTGGGAATATGATGTTGCAGCAATAATAAGTGACCTAACTTAAAGAAGGGCAGGACTGGGGAATAAATATTTCTGGATGTAAAGTGATCAGGAGAGG